CGAATACATATTTAACTTTATATACAAAACTTATTCACAAGTGCAGTTACAGACTAGGTGTTATAAGCTTGGTAGAGTACGTCCTTATAATAGTATTTTCATTGGCGTAACATAAATTTCTCGCATAAACACAGATGGTGATATATCCAGGGATATTTATTTATTTATATTTATATATATTTTATTTATTTATTTATTTACCTGTCTGGCCTAAGTAAAACATATTACATTCCTTGCAAGGAACCTTATAAATGTGTTGTTGGGGAGTTCTTGATTAACATTTGTTTAACAGTGCATTAGAGTTTTTGAATGCCATTGACGTTCCAGGTTTTAGTTGTAAAGGAATTTGAGAGAAATTTTTGTGAAATGGTAATACTAAAATTCTTATGGTCATGGGTGGGCTTGGGATCAGTTCTATAGAAAGATTTCTTAGATGTTAAGGCATTTACCTATGAAATATCAAAGGTACTTAAGGTTCAAGCCAATATTATAGATATATTTATATTCCTCATCAATGAATTCCGGCTGCATATTCTCAAAGCACGTAAAAACATTGATGAAAATACTGACTGTTTGACTCTTATGATGAGCAGAATAATATGTGAATGTATAATAGAGTCAAACAGTCAATCAACCGGAATTCATTAACTAGACTTAAACAACATAAATTTAGTGTTAGGACAGGCCAGAATCCAATGCTCTGTTTCTTCATTTGAGGGATAATAAGCATTGCATTGCCCGGGATAATGCCTCCTCAATATTACCTTGTAATTCAATTGACAGAAGGAACATCATAGAATCTAGTCTCATTAAACATACCGAATTCGTCAACATGAATTTGAGTAATGGTATGTACAAACTGGATAATTTCGTAATTAAGATTTGTAACCAGGTGAGAAGGTTGGGTCAGATTACCCTCTGACCTGACTACCGACTGCTTGCAGGTGCTTTTGATTAGTAGGGTCATTACCTAATACCTGACCATTGTGGACATGATCTCACCCTCCTTTGTATATATATATATATATATATATATATATATACTACTGTTTTGTACTTCTCTTAGTCTGTACTCACCCAAGATGTAAATTACATGGCGAACTTCGTGTTTTCTTCCTGCCTTGTGGTTATCAGCATATGCCTAGATCACGCACCCGTGATTTACTTGCACACTCACATATATATATATATATATATATATATATATATATATATATATATATATATATATATATATATATATGATAACCACAAGGAAGGAAGAAAACACGAAGTTCCCAAGCGCTTTCGTGTAATTCACGTCTTGGATCACTCGCACCTACAGTGATTTACTTGCATATGTAACCGGTCGGAATTTATTCTCACTCTTAGTTATTGGGTTTTTGAGTTATAGTGGATGGTAATGCAGTAGAAGCGCCCCTCAGAGAAAATCCCGAGCCAGCACAAACACAATTAAATAAAAATATTCTCCGTCACCGTGGAAAGCTAGCACCTGTGATTGGGGTTAATGAGACGCACTATTAAAAGGTGACACTTCTATTCCTTCCAACACTACAAACACAATCAATAATGGTACACAAACTCTAGAGTACTTCTTAGCGTGGCTTAAAACACTACAATGGGAAGCAAAAGTTATACATGGTATCAAAAATTATTAAGAAATATTAAATGCATCTGGAGAGGACTACTAATGCAGCAGTACTACCTACACCAGAACGAGGAACTCATCTGAAACAATTCCCTCGTACATCTTACATCACTTAGTGGCACATAAAACTTTAAAAACAATATTACTTGCACCAGTGAACATACCTTAAGGGCATCCGACAAAATAATAGCAATCACTGAAAAATAGAAATCCCGATTTTAGTCATACTGCACAAGAACATGGATCACTCATAGCCTGTCTGGGATGACCCACAAAATAGTATAATCTTAACTGTCCTAACTACCCAGAACCCGAAGGTCGTAACTACTAACCTGTCAATGGGCAGGCATTTACAAGAACCCGAGAAAATCACTCATGACCCGTCAGGCAGGCGGGTGCTCCGCTGTTTTTTCATTACTCTCTCTAAATTTCAGGAGTCATGAGTGTATTTCACATCCATCACCCGTAACATGCTTCACAGATATGCTTAGAACACACCCATACTTTAAGGTGTTACAGCGTTTAACCAACTTTGAAGAAGAACCCCTACGTCCCACGTGTGCAATCAACCATGAGGAGCATTGATTACACACCTGGACTTGGTTAATTCGATCACATACACCCAATACTGGGGAGATAAATGTCTCTATGTACCCAACTATAGAGTAGACTCCTGGTCTCGGTGTGTGACCTTTCATTCACTCAGGCTGCACTCCGTTTACTCTCAGTACTTCATGGACAGGAAGAGAGTGACCGTCAGCAAGTGAACCCTGCCCAGCTGAGGGAGGGGTTCTATTTTCCCATAAGATTTTTCACTGACTGACTGAAGAGATGTGGTGTTGTATGAACCAAGGTGGGGAGATTAGTTGACCCAGAACGACCACCGACCAAGTGCGGACGCTGATCCCACATAGTTAGTCGTCAGGGACACTCATTCACCTCGTGCGTGGCCAACTATACGACCGCTAAACACCCGTTGACCAACCGTGAGAGTTCTCTGAACCCTGCAAAAGAACACTCTGTTAGCTCCTGCTAACTTCTTCTCCATCCTATCTAAACACTGTCTGAGATCGAATAAAACTTACTTGCAACACTGATGAAACGTGCTCGGGAAAGGACGAGGCCACGTGGTCGTTTTCTTTGGCAGAGACCCGTGGGCGACGTACGCCTGCGCGCTACTGACTGGGTCAGCGTCCGCGTGCCTCAAGGCGGTCGCCTAGCATAGTGACGTCATCTTTCACACATTCTAATAGTTTCTTTGGGACACACGTAACATATTTAGACTGAGAAACGATCTACAATAACTTTAAATTTAATAATTGTCCCTTAACTTCATGAATCGTGTCTACATTAATTCGATAAAGTACATTTAGTTTTATATAGGCAAAGTTCAAAATGCTTCCACCGTGCATGATGGCGTTCCCTGAGCCGAGTCTTACGCACCATTAGGCGTGGGTGTTTTCAGCCTGGCCTACTTATGCTTTCCTGTTTCGGCAGATCGGTTATTTTCGTTCTAACATCTCTAAATATCATACCGAAATTTCTGAATACTATATATATATATATATATGTATAAGTATATGTATATATATATATATATATACATATACTGTATATATATATATATATATATATATATATATATATATATATATATATATATATATATATATATATATATATATACTGAATAAAGACGAAAGCTAGGTACTCCGTTGTTTCATCTTCCCGTGTGATTTTATCAAAATATATATATATATATATATATATATATATATATATATATATATATATATATATATATATATATATATATATATATGTGTGTGTGTGTGTGTGTGTGGCTTTGTTTTTACGCTGTTCCGTCAACTTTTAGATTCGTTCCTGCTATTTATTTGTCTATTTTCGTAAACATGGGTTTATTGGAGAACTAGTCTCAGACCAAAAACAAATAATATTAATATTAATAATAATATTAATAATATTAATAATATTAATAATATTAATAATAATAATAATAATAATAATAATAATAACAACAACAACTTGTAAGTATGCCTGTCACTGCGGTCATCTTTGTGTGTGTGTGGTCATATGACTAGTTAGTTCCCTTCCCACTGACATTCAAAACACGAACACAAAGCATCGGGATGCCAGGGTGTCAGACTTTATATTAAAATATCCCCTATGGTTAAAAACCCCTTATGGACAACTCTATATATCATACTAGTTAATTGTTTGACATGTGTTCAACTGCTTGAATATTGTAGATATAAACCCGAGTTGAACTTTTGGATTTGGAAATTATTTGCTTGAAGATGTAGCCCCTTGGTCACCCGAGACACCTTTAGAGTCCAATAACCTTTCTCAGGAAGTGTGTGCCCAGTTGGAACGGTTTGTCTGCTTACTATACAGATCCAAAGAATACACCATAGTGAGCAAGCTTCGTTGGTTGCTGTACTCAAACCGTGCTGCTAAATGCGAGAGTCTTCCTCCAACTACCGTACTGGTTCGTTTACATTACATATTCGTCGGGCACATTACAAAGCAATGATTTGGAGAAATGCTGGAGAAAGTCAATCATATCTCACATCTCAAGCTGAGTACGGTTGGAAATTTGATGCAGCTAAATTTCAGTTTGCTCGATTTCGATGTTTGAATCTTGCAGCTCCTCAAGCAACAATAAATTTAGTGGAGTGTGGATGTAAATATGGATGTATCCAAGGGAAAATGTAGATGTTGGAATAACGATGTTCTATGCACAGAGGTTTATCGCTGTGTGGGGTATAGCTGCAGTAAAAGAGTGAGGTCTGAGGAACAATTAGAAGGCATGAATGAGGATGACTAATGTGCAACAAACACATCCCATAAGTGCAACAAACACATCCTATAAATGCAACAAACACATTCCATAAGTGCAACAAACATATCTACCATTAATACGTCTTATCTTTTTTCACCCATTAATCTGTGTTCTCTCTGCCGCCCATTAACACTTCTTTGCTCTGCCGCCCATTAATACGTTTTATCTCTGCCACCCATTAAAACGTCTTAACTCTGCCAGCCATTAAAACGTCTTAACTCTGCCACTCATTTATGCGTCTTAACTCTGCCACCCATTAATACGTCTTCTCTCTGCCTCCTATTAAAACGTCTTCTTTCTGCTGCCTATTAACACGTCTTATTTCTGCCACCCATTAATACGTCTTATTTCTGCCACCCATTAATACGTCTTCTCTCCGCCACCTACTAAATCGTGTTCTCTGTATCGCTCACCAAACACGTCCGTAGCATCCACTAACTACTCCCTCTCTACCAATCAATAACCGCATCCTATCTCTCCCGTCCACAGCGTTCAGCACGGCGAGCATCCTGGCCCTACGGACGCCCACCTTGGCGGAGGAGCTGCAGGAGGCGGAGTCCGGGGTGGCGTCAAGGAGCTCTACGCCCGACGCCCTCACTCTCATCAATAACCACTCTAAGCCCATCCTCGTGCTCAAGTGCCACTCCTACATCAGAGGTCAGTCCCTATCTGTCTCTCTGCCTGCCTCTCACATTCACTCTCTGGTCCATATATGAGTGTTGCCCATGTATCTTAAGTCAAGTCTTTTTATCTTGTTTTTTTTGTCTTAGGAAGATTATATTGAACATTCTTCATACTCAAATGCAACCTCTTATATCAAAGGCAAGTCTCTCTCCCTGACCATACCATTTTAGCAGTGATAATACGACTATTCGTTCAGTGCCTTCTCTACTGTCACACTGTTGTGCCCTTCTGTCTTAGTAACTTGGTGTTATGACATGTTACATCCTGGCTTAACCCAGGCGGTTAAGCCAAGTTCACCAAGGTATGTGTTTGTGTCGTGAATAAATACAGTATCCGACCCAGAAGATTAAGCCAAAGTCAGCAATAATATCCCACCCGGATGATAAGTACAGGTCCGCCTTGACCCCAGGAAGACGTAACGTGGCCCACGCCAGTCCGTCAGGCCACCGCGGGGAGATCTCGGGCTTTTAAATTACTATATAATTCGACAGCTTTTGTGCTATAATGTTTATATTTACGATGAATTATCTATACATAACATTACAGGTATAACATCTAATCATAATGCAACTCTTTTTCACAATGCTAGTCGTGGTCGAGTTGACAACTTTATTTCCACCTCAATTATAAACTTCCTGTATTAGTGCAATAAAGTCAAACCCACACTACAATAGGACTGCATTACGTCTCGCAATTAAACTATCAAGTATGGTGTGACAAATTTAATTTTCCAAAATTTTAGCATAAGTTTTCCTGACTCTTAAATGTCCTCCTACCCTATCATGAGCCGTACTGAACACTTCCTGACGCAATGGCTGGGATACTTCAACCTGATTGGTATCCAACTACACTTGGCCTGCTGGAACACCAGTTGGTCGGTACTTTCGTATACAAACTCCAGACTGGTGGTTGTAACACTGAGACTTCCCAGCAACTTCTGCCATAATTATGGCTCTATTGAGAAACACAGTTTACTCCGGATCCCCAGTTTACAGCTCTACAAGTTTACTTCGACAGGAGTCTCCAAAACTAGTGATTTCTAATTCCCTATCACCATCAGGACTGACTCAACGGTGGTCTACGAGTGGGAAATCTTCGAAAAAAATTACTAAGACCAAGACCAGGATGGTCGTCCTCAACGTTAACACGGAACTCCCCATATGAGAGGACAGAATCTCCATCCGGGTCGGCCCTACGGCTCACGCTACATGTCACACTGCATGCAGAAAAAAACCGGGAATCTGTTCATCTAACTGTATGGTGTTGATCACTGTAGTACAGTAGATTATGATGAGACTATTGTATTAGATCATATCCTCTCAAAAGTGAGACATTTCCTCAGGTCAATTATCTACCTATCACTCCTAGAGTAAAATACCCAGAGATTGTGGATAAACGTAAATACGGTTGACAAATGGGAATACGAGAATCGCCGGTCAAACCATTCACTGGGACCCAGCTACCTGTATGGCTCCTCTCCAAAAAAGGAGCCGCCTCTTTGATCACAAGAGATAAGGCTGAGCCAATGTCTCTCAATAACTTGACAAGAAAGGAGGGTTAACTGCACTGATCAAGAGCTAGAGAACCAGAGGATCAAAATGGTCACATGTGGAAGACACTGAGGGCTGTAACACAGGGTTCCAATTCATTTCGCGATTGCTTGGCCACCCTGACCGAGAGACAGGGATCTCCCTGGTAAGAGGAATGTTTTTTGTTTTGTTTTCTCTCTAACCTTCTGCAGTCATTGATGACATGCCCTGGCTTCTTGCAGTATTTACAAAAGGAGCACTACTTCTCTCACCAGCAACAGTAGTTCTCCCAGTCTCACGGACGGAGGGCTCACCTAAAGTAAATGGAGTGGATTCCGGGGCCCTGGTGGTTTGGTTTGTATAACAGGACGCGGCTGCACTAGAGTCGGAGCTGAAGCAGGCCGCTAGTAGGGAACTAGACTGGGAACAGGGGTCAGGGGACCTGGAATTTACATTTTTACCAAGTTAAAGAATAATGGACAGCAACCGGACCAGCATCAGCCAAGTTGAGGATACCCCGTTGGTCTACTTGTAGATATTCTCTTACATCGGTTGGAATACACCTTATCACCTCCTCATCAAGAATTAGCTACTCAGGTTTTTCATGTTACACGTGGGTGGACTTACTCTACATCCACTTCTGCCGAAAAAACTCGACAAACCTCTGTTTGTCGTCGTCCGGCAGTCTTGGAACTGTCGCCGATAAGCTTCAAGAACCTGCTTATAGCTATTCAAAATGGCCAGCCTGTCAGCCATGAAATGCCGCAAGCATTTACAATGAGGAGAAGAAGCGGTCCAATTCTTCTTTCTCAAACTTAGGGACACTGCTACTCTATTTATCAACAGCTCAAGCTGTTTCAGTCATTGATGTATAGTGTATACTGTTGGTAGTTTGGATCGTCACAATGGTTCAGTCATTTATGTCGATAAATGTTTTTGTTCCAGTTTCTTTACAAGAATAATGTGTCTTGGCCTTCACTGTTCTGCTAAGATAAATTTTAGTAGCAGGCATGCTCTCTTAGTGACTGTCTGCCAATCTCTTTTTACTGTGATAGAGGTGGACGTCGGTGAGGCTGATGCTTAAGTCAGCAAGGTTTTTAGGAGTGTTAAAATATAATATAATATATATCGCGAGAACAAAGCCTCTTGAGTTTAACTCCAGACATGCTATAAGTTCATTCCAGGTTGCAAAATTGAACAAAACCGAATGAACCTCTCGGCTCTGGCCAGCTCTGTCAGTGCCTCTGGTGACGGTGCTGCCATAAAGCTCTCAAGGCTAGTCATACTGAGCTCAAACGAATATGCAGCAAAGCTAATTGTTAAAGTTAACGTTTACACACACACACACACACACACACACATACACACACACTACATTTGGTAAGAAGCTTCTACACCATCCTCGACACCGGCTCCTACTACCACCTGAGATCCCTAGTCCGAGAATTGCTGTTCGACACCACAACCGCATCCAGCCCATACGTGCACGAACTGATCGCTATAAGAACAGCCCAGTCCCAACCATTGTAAAAATTATCAATGACTTGTAATAAACCAGTGTATTCACTCCCAGTAAACACTACTCCTTGCACTGTCACTATGTTTGAAATGAACTGTAGTTTGAGCTTTTCCCCATCTAGTTATTATATGTCTTATTTGTGTCACTTATGTTACTTGTATATTATTTGTAATTCGAAACCCATTCCCCAAATATGTAACTGTATATTTTCAGCCTTCTGGCCAAGCACTTTCAATAAACCGTTAATTATTATTATTATTATTATTATTATTATTATTATTATTATTATTATTATCATTATTATTATTATTATTATTATTATTATTATTATTATTATTATTATTATTATTATTATTATTATTATTATTATTATTATTATTATTATTATTATTATTATACTTCTACTACTTTGCTGTCACTCGGAATCGAGTTTGGCTATGATACAATGATATGAGTTATTAAGGATGTCACCTTCGTTAGTGAGCTCTGAGGTGATTCGAGAGGCCGATACGGGACTGGTAGGGCTGTCCACAGATGTTGCACGTGTGGAGGACAACATCGAGTGCGGGAGGGGCGCTTGCAGCTCCTTTCCTGGCTGGCGCTTGTCTGCCTCGGTATGAAGTCGGGCTAATTCGAAAGTATTGAAGTCTTCTCGTGGTGCTCCTCCAAGCATTACAGTGTTGAGTGATCGTCTCCTCACATGTATGGGTACGGAGCCTGCCAAAGGCTTGAGATGTACAGTACATCTGATCCTATGTTGAATCTCTTCATCGATGTCCGCGGTGGTGGACATGTGGAAGCCAAGATACTGAAAGTGGGTAACATTAGAGAGGGTTGTACCGTTAACCTGGATGGATGGTGGAGGTGTGGCTGACCATGGCCAGGCTGAATCGTGGGGCGATTTTTCTTGTCGCTGCCACTCTCATGCACGCAGACAACATCGTCTCTCCGAGCATCTGCATTTTTTTGCTGTTGTTGGTGAGCAGATCTGAGAACCATCTCTCAGAGGAGTAAGTGCTGTGGAATGCCACCAGAACTTGGAGTGCTTTACCAGCAATCATCTCATATGTTTCTTTCTGGCTCACTGCTACTCAAAAGTCGGTGTGGTTGCGGCTGTTGAAAAGGTCCTTAATTTCTGAGTCACAGTGGAATTCGATCAGTGTCTTTTTCTTGAGTGGGCAGATTTGCTGTCGTTCAAGTTTAAGATAAGGAACGGGTTTCTTATCCAACTATTCTCCTTCTTTTCTTCCTCATTTGCAGGAGGAAAACAGTGTTTAAAATTCTGCTGGAGAACGGCGAGATGTTGGGACACAACTATCATCATTTTGTCGTCAATGACTTCATCCTTGGACTCTGCAATCACTTTCCAAAGTTCATCGAAGTCTGAAAAGTCTCTTCTCTCAACTTTATTCTTCCACCCTGAAATTTTCAATTTGAATGCCTCAATTTTTCCATTGGAAGTGAACACATCTTGACCTGGCCCTTGAAAAGAGAGGTTCAACACATTGAGCTTGGTGAATATATCACAAAAGCAAGAAAGCTTAACAACCCACTCCTCTTGCATGAAACAGAATGCATGCAGTGAGCCACAGTCTTGCAAGAAGCCATGAACTGCCTTCCTTAGTTGAAAGAGTCTCTTCAATGCAACTCCTCTTGATAGACATCGCACTTCGCTGTGAAACAGCAGGGTCTTCTCAGTCTCCCCCATCCCATCGCAGAATTCATGGAACATGCGAGATTTCTCAACTTTACTTTTGACATCATTGATGATAATGTCGCACTTTTTCATTACTGCATCCACTTGGTCGATGCTTTGATGAGAACTTCTCCAGTTCGGTGCATAATCTTTCGATCTTGCCACTGCACCATTTCTTATCCCAACCATACTCGCTGCCCCATCGGTTGTGATGTGTGAACACTTTTCAATTGCAATCCCATTGTGAGTGAGGCAATCCAGAACTTTTTTTTGCAATTGCTTCACCGGTAGTTTCTGTGCCAACATCTTCACAGAAAAGAAACTCTTCTTTCATTCGCAAGTGCTCACAGTCAACATAGCGAATAAAGCATATCAGTTGAGCCCTGTTTATATATGCTACCGCATTATGTGTGTCGTCGGGGCCCCCCTCCCCCCCTAAAGGTTGGAGGGCCCTAGGCACGTGCTTCATGTGTCTATTGGGAAATCCGCCACTGCACAGGATGTAGCATGATTGACTTGTTCACTGATTTTTGTGGGTCACAATGTCGGTCACAGCTGCTCCTGGGTCATAGCACCTGGTCACAGAAGTCTGTCGGGCCACACTTGTAGATGGTTTGGGTCACATTGCTGTGACCTGGGTCACAGGATTGGGAAATACTGCCATATAGCATGCGGACTTACATATACAAACAGATCCAGGGTTCGATTCCCGACTTGTAAGGTATTGCTTGCTATATGGACTAATGAGGCTATACAGGGTGATTCAGCAAAGAGTACAATAAATTGGAGGATGAAATCCTTGAAAAATTTTAATCATAATGTCTCTACGGTAAAATGTCAGATTCTGCATAACTTCAATGTTACAATATATTTAAGATGTTGTATTAATGAGAGTGAATTTGATGTGAAACCCCCTAGGATTTTGTAATCATTTATTCTCATATGTCTTATGTACAGCAGTACAGCATGATACAAATGGCTGACACAGGTGCAATGAGACAGGGGTTACAATATATATATATATTGTGTGTGTGTACAAGTTTTCACTTGTAACTATACTAAAAGCAACTTAGCTAGCTTCGTTAAGTACTTGTTGCTCTTTTGATGGCATTGTCTTCTTAACTAAACACACGTTACAGTTACCACTATGCTTTCATTTTGCCTCATTTTTTTATTTCTTTCGACTGTTTTATTTTCACTTGTCTTCTCACACTTACATATGTTTTGTTCCTTACCGATCAAGTTTCATCTTCATTCAGTAGCATTAGCTGAACAATTTCAGTAACACGCATTTTACATGATTCCTGAAAAATATTTATCGAAATTTGTCACCGAATTCTTACCAAGATATTTGACCAATGTCTCATCTTACCTAAATTCTCAAAGATTATCGCATCACGTGTACAATCACACCAAAGTGTCTAGTTTTCCTACTTACTAAATAGATAATTCAAATGCTTTCTCTTACCCAAATGTTCACGCACTCTTTAATAAATATATCACTTTGGTCCTATTAAAAAGTAAGAATTTTTCTTCTTACATAAAGATATCTCAACTGAATCATGAATTAGTTCTCAGTTCATTTAATTTCCTCATCTTGTCTCAGATGTTTCAGCAGCTAACTTTCCTGACTTTACCCAACAGATGACAGTAGTAGCCCGGACTCAGAGCTGCGGCTACCCCTCAACGACATCGATTCCGGTAATTCAACACAGCACTCTCCTGATGGCGCGAAGTCTATGTCGCCACAGGCTACGGTCAATGGTAAGTGCTAGTTAATTATTTGGTACACGGACAAAATACCACCGAAAAAAAGGTCTGAAACAATTCCCCAGCGAAAGAAACTCCATCGACATAATAAGTAGATACGCATTGGTAAAACCCCTAATGCTTGCTTGTGCCAGGATTGAGCCAACATCCTTCTCAAAGGCCAGTAGGATATCTCTTCCTTGGTGATGAGCTTGCAGCTGGAGGATGTGAAAAAGCAGCTGGTCCTTCAATGGTAAGTTCTTATACTAGATCATAAACTGCTCCTTTTAATTGACATAACGAATATGATAACTTTAGGCACTTCAACTGTCATGTACTAAATACTTGAATTTATCCCAAAAGGAGCTCCAATTTTTTTTCCACTAAACTCAGGGAGTGTTAGGATAGGTAACTGTACTCACCCCTGAAGATGTGAATTACACGAAAGCGCTTGGGAACTTCTTGTTTCCTTGTGGTTATCAACATATATATATATATATATATATATATATATATATATATATATATATATATATATATATATATATATATATATATATATATATATATATATATATATATTGTTTATAGCGAGTGTAATTATTTAATCTTAATATATACAGGATGCTATTAGCCGTTAAGGATGCTATCCCTCTTTCTTTTTACTTCTATACATTTTGGCATTGTCAATAATTTCTAGTTTACCAAACATTCACCCGACCTTTTATTCCTAGCCAAGCTTCTCAGGAAAGTCACATTGTATCCTCATGTCTGTTTCCACTGTCTGTCTGTGGCTACTCTCAGTGCTCTATTAGTAGTTCCTTCTACTGCTTGTAGTCTCGAGTTGTGTCACAAACCTTCATTGACTTTGATAATCGAATTTAGGTACAGTTATCTGTCCATACAGGCTAGTTTAAATACCAATGACGTGTAAACAAGGAGGTAAATGGCTGTTTGCAACCCGGCGATCAAATTATTTTCTGTCTAAGAGACAAAATGCTCATGAATTATATAAATACTTTTCGACTATTATAATAATTTTGGTACATAACTTATAAAAAAGTAAAAATTACCTTTATTTTCATTAAAAAAAGGAAGCTTGTAGATGATTTGTCACTCGCAATATATGGACTGAAGTTTAAAGGGATTTTAATGCAGTTATATTAACGTTAGGTTTGTTTCACAAGAGTCTGTGTCTAAAAGACCTGTTAATTGTTGTATGCTCTTGTAAATTTGTTTCCTTGTTTGTTTCAGTCCTAAATTAGGGATTACAAATATAAATTTTTGTGATAACAGATTGATAAATGTCCCGTACTTAATGGTTGCAATTCACTATAACGTGCAAACTTTGTGTACGTTAACATACGGTAGTCATGAAGTGATAATGAATTAAGCAGGAATTACTGAAAATTAACGTGAATGATTAGCGACAGAGTGAACTTCTTAATTAAAACTATCAAAATCATGTTACAATTTTTGTTTTGTTAGTTGTGATATATTTTTTTAATAATGGCTATTGACATGGGACCGTGATGAAAGGTGATATTACTGTTAAAATCTTTATTGGGGAAAATTTTCGAGTAACTTGACAAGAATGTGTTTTATTGTATTATTAACGGGATAATTAATTATAATCACAGGATGATTTCCTGCCACGCTCAATTCGCCAGACTCTTGGCGAAGTCTCATGAAATATAACACTGAAAAATGGTCGGTTTACTGGTTGGTTAGGTAAGGTCAAGTTATATTACTAAGTAGGTTAATTGAGGTTAGGTTAAGTTTATTATGGATAGGTTCGGTCAAGTCAGGTTAGGTTATGTTATTAGCATGTTAGATCAGCTCAGGTTAAGTTAAGTTTAGTTGAGTTAGGATGTTTATTTAGGTTATGTTAGGTTAAGTTGTGATCTGTACAGTGCAGTAGTTCCATTACCATATAGATGAGGGCCACGAATTTTATTCTGAATTAGACATTCTGTACAGAAAACAAAAACAATATAGTAACCAAACTTAACATAATCTAACATTAAATTGTAACAAAAAATATAGAGAATAGTTCATTCTCCCCTTAATTTTTGCCCTTTGAACGTGTACAAGTAAAGAGAGAACGTAAGAAAAGGAAAATTATCAGTTGGATTAAGTAGGCATAGAAAAACTGTATCACTAACATGGTGAAGATGCATAATATAAAATATCGATACATCAACAAGGTTGTGTTACTCGATATATCTGAGATGATTTTACCAGTTTGTTGAGAGTGCACATTACCGATTAATCCACCGTAGCGTTATCCCCATTCTCATTCTCTATTTCCCCAAGGAAGATCTGTATTTGTTACTCTCCTAACGAAATGTTTTAGGTTCCATTTTTACTCAAAGGAAATTCATTACAGTACTCTTTTTTTGTTCAACGTCCATAGGATTATTGGATATTCTAATGTCCGTGTTTCTCCTGCCAGAGTCGCTGTCGCCCATGTCTCCAGGGTCGGGTGGTGTGCCCTTCCCCCAGTTGGAGCTGCTGGAGGGTACCCACAGGGGGCTTTATCGCTTCATTCCCCGACACCACGACGAGGTCGACATCGACATTGGTGACCCCATCTATGTCCAGAAGGAGGCCGACGATCTCTGGTGCGAAGGTGAGGACTAGCAGTGATATGGTCCCAGGTGTGGCCGAGTGTGTTCACCTCACGTTATGTGGCTTCTTCTGATGAATCTTATTCTTGTCTCATATAATGGATATCATTGTATGGGGGTTCTTATACACAGTTTCTTATCCTAGCTAAGTGTGGGGAGATCGAGTTAATATTCCTCTTTTGTAGTCTTGTATATTCTAGGTCTAAAGTCGTAGACAGCCACTAGTGACCTTTGGCAATGAGGCAATATTTTCACAGGTATTTTCTAATACCTTTTAAATTAATGTAGGGAGCTATTCAACTTGAAGGTGAAACTTTTACATTAATAACTATGTAATGACAAGTTACCACTACCACTGTTCTCACTTTGTTGGAGTATATAAATTCTATAATTATATATATACAGTGTAATATATATTATATTCCTTACTTCTACTCACAATATTTAATATGAATAGAGTAAAAAACTAGCTTATCTGTTTGAAGTAATTGTATCACCCCTTAGGCAGATAATATGGAAACTTTGTTGAGTCATCGTCACAAATCAGCAATGAATGGTAAACACTGACTCGAAAGAAAGCTTTGATCTGTGCCCACTGTTTCTCCCACCAGGAGTTAACCTGCGGACGGGTCGACAGGGCATCTTCCCCGCTGCTCATGTTACAGATGTCGACTACTCGGATTTCGACCCTACAGTCCCCAAAGTGAAGAAGGAACGCTACCTCCTCAACTACCTTGGCTCTATAGAAACTCTCTGTCACAAAGGCAACCAGGTATGACAACATCTTGAAAGAAGGAAACGAAAGGTAGATCTTTAAGATGAGGGTGTGTGGATCAGAGGCCGGAGGAGCATTATTGATTTTGGGTGTTTGAACATATTTCAGGAAGCTTTCTTATATGATCATTAGTACCGAAGAAAAATATAACAAGTGATGCTGAATAATTCTGTATTTGCAAATGGTCGAACCTGATTCATGATATTGAAAGCCTTTTTTTTTCATCTTTATTTTCAATTGTAGGATCAGGGTGAGTAATAGTAGAATCTTCCCCTTATATTCTGTATATTCTTCCGTGTTTCTTTCTTCCTCATAAATATTTGAAAAGTGAGTGGCATTCCTAATAACTGCAAACCAATAATGATGAACTGAAGAATATACATTTATTTAGCTTACCCAATCACTATATTAATTTACGTTAATTAGACGTTGTTTCTGTGTTAGTTGGTAAGAAAAAAAATTGGCTCAGAGTTTTCCGAAGCTTTAAAAAGTACTGAGGACTGTTTACAAGAAATACCATTACGGACGGACTCCCGGTTGCCACATTTGACTGGTACTCGACCTACAATGACGAACGCAAATGTAAACAGTTGGTCAGGTTTCTGCAGCTACTTTTTACCAGAAATATGAGCGTCATCGTTCGACATTATTTTAATGCGAATTTACGAAAATGCGTAGATAATCGTAGCACCATACATCTGTACAGAAATGACAGAAATTCTCTACTGAGAGGACCAACAAAGAACTTTAAAACTGTGTCATATTTAGAAGATAATTATAGCATGAGATATATTTAATTACGTTGCTGTAGACTGAAGGTATACCTATATAAATATTGAACATATTCCTGCTGTAGAGCTATATTATAACTTTGACAAAAATAAAGATGTTCCACATATTGTACTCCTGCTTGCTTAAAACAATTAGATTTTAATATAGTATAAATTGTCTTCAGTATATATTAACATTAGTTCAATTTATAGAGGATTACAATATTTCTGGAACAGCAACTGGAGACCAAGGATTTAGCCAAACATTTAAATCCCATCCAAATTCAAGAACTATATTTTGTTGCTTAAATATTTTTGTTATGATTAAGTCACCTTGGATATAGCTGTCTACACGTTGCCATTAATACGCACTGGAACTGTAGTGCTGGTAGAGAAAGCGGGCAGAAACCTGAACAACTATTGCTATTTGTATTATATGATGGAAGACTGGACATTCGACGATCTAATGTGGTGACTAGAGATTAAAGTATAGAAGAAATTATCTGATTAAAAAATTTCCAAGAATAAAATAAATAAAAATACTTAATTATAATAAATATATAGATAAAATAAAAGATTGATGAATGAATTATACATGCTTCACTATTGGTTCCTGTATTCCATTTTTCTTCAAGTAACGTGAGTTAGACTGAAGTGAAATAGCGATAACTTTTTCATCTTACACCTGGAAGTTTAAGAGAAGAACATAACTGTCCGTAATTATATAATAAAATAAATTTGTACGAATATTTGTTCAGTCTTATTTGGCTCTAAAATTCCATTATTGTATTGCACATTTCGTACTATATTTAGAACGTCAGTGAAACAATTTGGTTAATTCTCAGAGCAAATTATATGTTAAGTGCTGGAAGGAAACATCAAACTCTGAAATTCATAATTATTTCCGCCACTGAACAGGTGCTGTGTCAGGCGGTGAGGAAGATCGCTGGAGGGGAGGAGACGGCCCACCTCCCGCACCCTTGTATCCTGGAGGTGTCAGATCAGGGCATCAGGATGGTTGACAAGAGTAAACCTGCGGTGAGTTGACGAATTTAGGTATTTTCCGCGTATTCTTTCTCTTCACATTCTTCATCCACATTTTCTCCAACTTCTCATTTCACTCTTCCTATTTTCATTTTACTATTTGTTGTTGTGGATATTGCTGTCATTCTTAGAGGGTAAATTTGTAGATACTGTAACAAGTTTCGATTACCTTTTCATCTCTCTCCCATCTATATCTTTAAATTTAGAATTATGGATACAGTATATTTGAACAACAGTCAACGATTAGTTAAGCAATAATTGGTGTATAATAACTTACATAATGAATAATCCGTTTTGTCGTTGTCTTTTTTGCTCACTATAATCAATAATGGTTGCTCCTCGTGATCGCGGATGTTCCTCCCTAGTGCCCCCTACTAGGCGTGAATTTGTTTAAGGTGTAAAAGGTGTTAGTTATACAACATCCACAACCAATGTTAACAAGCTGTATGACACACACACACACACACACACACACAAATTTATTGATAAAGATATTTACAGGTATATAAATAATTGTTTTGCTTTTTATTCCGTGTTCGATTGCTGCAGTAATCTGCAGTCAAGTAAATCAAGATGCCATCTTAAGCTATTTTATAATCAAATGCGGTGAAGTGAAGTGTCTATAACACTATTAAATATTTCCTCCAACCTCCGTCTTTCATCCTCCGGTCAGGTTTACTTCGTTTCCGACAATGGACTGTCACACATACGCTCCTCACATGTGTTCATCTCCAACTCAAACCATAACAACAAGCATGGCGGAACTCTACGATAGTTGAAATGTGTATAATCCCACAGTGCGGGATATTCCCTGATCTAAATAAAAGAAACTTTTGCAATTGGCTGCCATTGTGGTAAAGTGGTGCGCCATTCGGTAGGGGAGGTTTGTTTTGGTATGTAAGTAAACAGGAATCAAATGCCGGTTTATTGTATTCAGCTAAATTATAAATAAACTGTTAATATTCACCAGGTCATACATCAAGCATAGCTGGTGGAAATTTCAAACATATACCAGAGTTTTTCAACCCTCACAAAAAGAGCTGGAGAACGGCTGGATGTTGGAAGTGAGGAGACCTCCGTTTGACCGGAGGTTGGGGGGGAAATGCACAAAGTGTGAATTATCGGTGTTGTCTTTGATAAGACGATAACTAACCTTCATTAATATCCTTAGTGCTAAAGTGTCTCGGAGAATATCCTTAATACTTTTTGTCAAAAACATTCAGCTAATACAGATTGTATCGTGTCCTCGACAACGTAAAATCTGAAACGGTAAGAATGTTTTCCTGAAATTTACTCTTTTCTGGTTCCTTATCCCTAAATATTTTACCCAGACCAATATGCCTCATTTCACCATTAAATGTTATTATTATTATCAGAAATCCAACAATAAATAGTGGTAGTCGTTCTATAGTTAACGAAAGGAAGTTAGAGTTCATTTAATAATGAGACATGTTATCGTATTCATACAGCACCATCAATTTCAATTCAATTTATCTGATAGAAACCACAAAAAACACAAAAAACAAAAATATAAGGCTTACTAAAGAAGAAGGATATTCTAACACCAATATATAAATCATAGAGGATCATTCCCGATGGCCAGCAGCAAACAACCACAAACAATACAGCACCATCTTAGTTTATTTGATAGGAACTTAATATGTATTGTACTATAATGAATAACAAACTGTATACAAATTATATATATATATATATATATATATATATATATATATATATATATATATATATATATATATATATATATATATATATATATATATAGAATTTTAGAAACTAATTTCCTGATTTACATTATGGTTGACTAAATCAATGTTTTATTACAGAGTTAATCATTTACCTTCTGGTCCTCAGTCTCTGGCAGGCTATTTTTATCATGCATCTTTTTACGACAAAACAAAGTTGGGCCTTTACTGACCAAACTGTAATTTGGCGCAGCAAGTAAGGCTAAAAAAACTAGTTTAACTTCACCGTTGTATATTTGTCTACAACTTTTCATATAACTACAAATAGTTTTAACTACAGCAGCAGCGCAGCATATGCCATTGTCACTATTGTATTCATTCACTCACTCATATACGGAAAATTTATTTAGAATAATATTGTCATTTATATAAAAACAGAAAACTAAATTATATTTCGAGAGTTAAATTAGAGGAAATTTAATTCCTTGTTTGGAAGAACAATACGAGACAATTGTTCTACCATCGTATTCACAGTTGCTTCCTAGTTTGCCTGAATATTTTCCTCTTTACGCTGGATTATTACTGTTTATTAGCATATTTTTATACTTTTGCTTTGTTATCATACTACAACTTTAATGTGGAAAAAAATAGTCATAATTTACAGTCTGTGTATCACCATGAGTTCTCGGACATGACTCGTGTTTTTATTTTTTCCTCTATGAAAATATATTTACTCCATTAATTCTTACTCTTTCTTGTACAGTTGTTTATATTACCATTGTCATATCGTATCAATTTATTATATTCATATATTGTCTTTTCAGGTTCACTTCATAACATTATCATATATATAACATATGAAAACTTTATTTTTATTTTCAGCCCAACCACGTGCCCTGTCACGACTACTTCTACCACCTCAAACATGTTTCCTTCTGCGCCTTCCACCCAAAGGACCATCGCTACTTTGGTTTCATTACCAAACATCCGACAATTCAACGTTTTGCTTGTCATGTTTTTAGAAGCAACGACAGTACCAGACCTGTCGCAGAAGCTGTAGGGTATGTAGCTAAAGTATTCTAAAATATGCTATTTTCTTTTAAAGACTATTAACACTGCCTTTTCTCAACCATGACTAGGACAGTAAAGTATTAGAGTTTTCAGATCAGAATTAATATAATTTTAAGGGTGTTCGGTGTAGCAGATTTGAAGAGACAGATTATTTGAAAAATAAATTACGTATTATAAAAAGCTATATTTTGGCGACGATGAGGAATAGAAGACAATGAAAGACGTTAACATGTTTGATGTTTCAACAGTGAATTGATGACAGTAGCTGAACAAAAAGTACTAACTTCACTTAATTTCACCGGTACGTACAGTATATAGATTATTTAAAAACTGGGGTGGATGACTGTAGGTGAAAAATAGCAATCTAGGCGGTCACTTAGAGTGGCACAATTTGGGCGGCGGCCAAAAAGACAAGCAGTGATATACATCACTGTTATAAGACATGTCGCCTCTGTCCAATGAAATAGTCCTTTAGTTGAGATGCGAGTTGCTTAACGATGAAAAATAAAGAGAAAGAGGATAGGCCTCCCACTATCGAGGATGGAATTTGTTCTTTGTAAAAAAGAAAAAGTTATAAATTGTAAGTGCAATCTTTCTGCAACGGTCTTTATGAAAGCAGGTGACATATTGCAGTCCATGAAACAGTTTATTAAGAGGCTTCTGAGATTTTCTTTTGATTTCTTAAGAGATACGAGGCTTCAGCTCTCCTACAGGATCACATTACATCATATTTTGTAGACACATTTCCACTTTTCTACAAAAGAAATTTATCTTCCCTTTCATTCCATCCTTTTGCGATATTAATATGAATACATGTGATTGTATGCTTCATGCCGCATCTGGATACACTACTGTATACACGCTAGTAGTCTCTTGTGCAATGCCGGAGAGGAAGATGGATGTCACAATCTAGTTAATGCTTAATTTTTTTCCTAGAAACTTGGTAATATATCAATATATCATTTCCACAACACAATGTCGGTTGTTTGTCAATAACTTCTTTACATATCATAACACAAGAATTTGATTTTTCTGAAGACTCTCCCAAGGTTTACACACTTCTGCCTTTGTGCTGCTCTCTTAACTTTTCCATATAACTGATACCATATGATGTACCTAAACACCGCCATTTCTGAAATCTCTAATCCTGTCCTAACATAGAGGTTTATAGAAAAAATGCTGAACAATATAAAGGACAGAAAAGGTTTATACAAGTATATTACATAGAGTGACATTGAGGAATGGGTCATTTACAAAAAGCTGCCATCTGTGCAGTTTTTAATATTTAATAATAATAACTAATTATAAAGACAATAATTCCTAACCGCTAACCCTACACCAGTGCTCTAGCCAAACATATAAACATGCTAACTATTTTTACACACTAAAATAGGGAGGACAAGAGCAAAGAGGAGCTAGGGACAAGCTTAAACCATCTACCTTTCTCTCTGATGTTTTAATCACTTAAGATTTGTTGGAACAGATGGCTAGTAAAGTTGATGCCTTGATCAGATTGAATTTCTTTTGGTATCCCAACAGATGTAAACAGATTTAGTAAACACTTAGTGATATTTTTTGATGTAATATTTCTCAAAGGATAAGCTTCAGGATACCTAGTAGAGGTACACAATATAGTGCGTAAATATTGATTGCCATTTTAGGTTTCAGGCAAGGGACCAACACAGTCTAGGACTATTTTTTTCAAAAGGTTCTGTCACTACAGGGATTGGTTTAAGAGGGGCTGGTGGATATATATCGTCATTCAAAGAACCATTGGCAGGTATATACTGTAGGGGTATCGAGATATTAATGTTGTCTAGCACTCAGGATGGAAGGAAACTCTAATGTGGTTTTCTTGTATAATATATAAGTTATATGAAGACAGTCTGGTGCTGGAGATGCCGTGTGGTGGGGAGCTGCTCAGTAGAAGACGTTCGGTGAGTAGCGTGTTGAAGGAGGTAGATGTGCAGGAGCTTCGTCAGAGAAGATGTTGCCTGTTGCTGGCCTCCTGGTTGAATAAATGTTAACAGCTAGGAGCTTGCTGGAGGAGGTGTTGCTTGTTCAGGAAAATGGGCAGAATGAATCTCAATGGAGAGACAGAGCTTATTTACCCAGCAGCAGCCGCTATGAGTCATGTTGGGAAAACCCAGAAAGTTGCCGGTGAATAGTTTCGTTGCTAGGCAACGGCACGTCGGAATGCGTGGAGGTGCCGTGTGGTGGCTGCTACGCAGTTTGTAGGGGAGACGTCCACTACAATACGTTTAATTGTGGAGAGTCTTGATCCCAAGGTCTTGGCTCAGTCTAGTATCACAGATTGTCTTAAGGTTAGAGTATTCATTGTTGAAAGGCAATTTTAGCAAGGTGAGCCTGAGTGTACAGTAGAAAAGAGACTGATTATAAAACAAGATAAAATTGTTCAAATTGGGGCCTTAACACGAGAAACGTTGCTCGAAAAGTTAACGTAAGGAAAATCTTTCCAGGGCATTTGGTGCCCACTGTAATATACTAAGGAATTAACCCGACACACCATTCCCCAAATGCTGATGATTAAATCTAGGTTAAAATGGAACCTACTCAGAAAACGTTATATTTTGACTGGCCCCAATCCTAATGTTTAAGTTGTTGCTAATTAGTCCAGGAATTTATTTAGTCAATTACTGATGCCCACTAAGAAAAATCTTCAAATGTATAAACTAATACCCACATGTGTACACTTTATTTTCCAGACGCGCCTTCCAGAGATTCTACCAGAAGTTCATTGAGACAGCTTATCCAATTGAAGATATTTACCTTGAATAGTGCCTAGGAGTGATCAACATTAAGAATGTGTGATAAGCCTCTGGATCAAAATGAATTTACAGGGCATTTTCAATGGTTATTACCGGAGTAATTAAGGGCCGCATTGCAATGTTAACGCTCAGAATTTAGAATAGGGAAAAAAATAAATGTTAATGAGGAGAATGGAGTATCATTTGAAAGATGTCCTAGCTTCTACATATTCAAACATGCATCAAGCCTGGGTCAAAACTTCAGAAGATGCAGCGTGAAGCAAAAACTGCAGCAGTTGGTGCAAATATGAGTTGCTTAGTTTTTTCTTTCTTTTGAGACATTAATGAAACCTAACAGTTACTTAGCTTTCATGCACAGATGTCAGAAAATTCTTTAATGTTAATACTATGCTTAGAATTGAAATGTGAATTATATTTATACTATACTCTGGGAATAATATATATAAGTTGTAGCAGTGTTTAAGCGCCTTGATCTTGGCAGAGATCAGTGATTTTTTTCCTTCGTTTGATAAATAATTCAGACAAACTACGTTTTCTTTTCTTTAAATGCTAATGCAATTGTTTGAAAGAAGTTTCTCGTGTGTATATATTTATATATATATATATATATATATATATATATATATATATATATATATATATATATATATATATATATATATATATATATATATATATATATATATATATATATATATATATATATATTATAGAAATGAGAATTTCTCAGATTTTTTTTAATGCTTGTAAATATGTAGTACATCTTCCGAGTCATTATTACTGAAGTAAACTTCAAAGCTTGTCCCTTAGGCATGAGCACACACTGCATCTTTTTGCTATGGAAGTTGCTTGTACTGTTCCTATTACAGAGAAAACCAACACATCAGTATTCAGTCACATATATAGATTGGATAATTTATCATACTGTATGTAAAGATCTAACCCTCCATTATACAGGTGTATTCTACTCTAAAATAAAATTAATATTCAGTCATAATTCAATCGATTTCAGAATCTAAGGATTAAAATTTGCTCAGCACTTATATGGTTCCTCCATCAAGCATTGAAGATTTCTAGAAAATAAGAAATAATTTGAATTCAGAAACTGTAATTTCACCATTTTTAGGGAGTAAGTGCTCGAATACAGGATCGTGTTATTCTTGAATGAATTTAATCCTCGTTATTATGTGTATAAGTTCTCTGTTATTGTATTTAGCTCGTCATAATATATATTATAAGTGGAGGTTTAAAATTTTCAGGTATATTTGGTGATAAATTTTGTTTTAGTAGACCAAACGTACAGTAGATGTGACATGTTTTTCATACGTCGGGGAAACCCAATAACTATTTTCATTAAAACTAATCTAACCAGGTTAGTGTAGCATTCACATTCAGGACCTCATGATTTATTATTCACAGCATATGCTAAAAAAATTCTTCTGAACTTTGCCTCTACTTGTAATTCTATGCGATATTTTGCATATGTATATATGTAAATTTTAATAATTGTAATTTAGGATTTGGCCCTCAATATTAAAATCTATTGTAAGCATAGTGGAACTGTCTGAAAACTCTTATGTGCTGTATTATGAAATTTATGAAATGGTACACTATAAATGTATATATATAATTGGTATAGATAACTATAATTCATACTACTGTATCATGCATTCCTTCATGAAAGTGTACTTGAAATTTAATTTAGCTGCTAAGATGTGAAATGTGTGTGAGCTGAAAGTTATGAACAGGATTATACTTTACATGCAAACATGAATCCTATATAATTAGAATGTACAGGCAGTTATACTGTAGGTATGTCATGAAATATATGCATTGCAAATTTATTTTATTGTACAATCATTTCATGTGAAAATAAGCTTATGTAACCAACTGTGTTGTAACTGCTAAATACATTATATTGATGTTACATTTGGTTAAAGAAATACATTGTTTAAGCTATTAATTTTTCTTATTGTTATGTATTATTTTAAGTTCTAATAACTATATTTATAAATACAGGATTTGGTTATTAAAATACATATGAACAGAAAATTAATTTATTAAATTATTTGAAATACAGTTCCAGAATTTTGTCCCAGCAAATTGGTCTCTTCTGGTTTTCTATTTTGATAATATCAATATGATAGACGTTTTGTTCAGTTTGGTCTGTAATATCATACTCTTATATACAGTACAGCACCCGAACCAGTGTCTCTATACATTAGGAAATTACAAAAAAAAGTAAGATTTACAAAAATTCATCCCTGTACATGTATCTCTAACACTGAGATAAGCTGAAGATACTACTTTATCTCTCGAATTATGTCTCGGAAGAGGGACTGTCATGTTGGCCGGTCTCTTTGCCTTGTCCCGTCTGCTGTCCTATCGTAACACTCTATTCCCCCGTTTTTCTGTGATACAAAATTTTTCTTCGTGAAGTTGATTTTTTTCTAATGACTTTCAAAACAGATTTCCGTTTTCTTTTGGTATAAGCCACCAAGAAATATCTTTGTGTGGGTATTTTACCAAAATGCTTGATTCTCAAATCAGATTCTCTATGAGATATCTTAATATATCACACATGACACGCACTCTGTCAATTAATCATTCTAATTGTGACATCCACAGCCATTCATAGCACACAATATCATGTAGCGTCTTTTGTCAACTGTGTATTTGACTGTAATATGACCAAAAAAACTCACACTATGTAGGAAAAAATCTGCACAAAAGCAAAGTTTGGCGTCTTTTAATAGCCTGTATAGTATGTTACTTCTGTATGATAATAAGGCTATTAAAGGAACGTCATATATGACTGTACATTGTTATGTAGTTCTGAACTTATCATTGGTGATATATCAGCAGTGTATTAAATGACAATATGCTGCTTTCAGAGTAATCACGACTACGATATAATTTGGACCAAATACTGAAATTTTATTAGTACATACTGAAGTTATCATAATTTAATTATCCATCAAAATAATGAAAATCGAAAAATAAAATATGGCCTATCTTTTGACTATGCTGATATGATGATCAATTATTTATTACAGTACTATTAGTTTCAGAATTTGGTACGTGTGAATTTAGATTATGTACTATGACATCTTGAATAGAATGACTTGTAGACAAAATTTATATGGTCTTCCAGGGCAATTTTTCTCTGCTGAACCTCGAGGAATAATGTTAATATTTCTTACCAGAAATAATTAACGTAGTGAAAACAATATTTATAAAGTATAATATTTGGAATCTGTTTATTTGCTAACGGACAACCAAAAACAATAAAAAAAGTTTCAACTTCACAGTATTTTTCATTGTTAAATCTTTAAGTGATATAAGAAAGCTAGTAAGACTGTAAAACCCTCATTCAAGAGTGATATACAGAGTTTGTTATTATATTTTGTATTCATTCACTACAGCTAGAACGTATTACCTCCTGATAGCAAATTTTACTTGATATTCAAAATTCAAAAGAAAATATAGTACTCCTGCATTACTTAATAGGCAAAACATGTCAAGAGATCCCAATATTTTGCCTTACACAAGAACTTGATTGGTTTCTCGGAAAGTTTTGCAGGCACGGATCTGAGGTTGTCTTAGGGAAGATATTATCACCACTGAACAGAGGTATTCACCATTGAAAAATGAGAAAAATCAAAATGGTCATTCTCAGAACGAATAGTTATTTAGCTATTCGTTCTCAAAATAGTCAACAATGCTCGGCTATGCTTCAAAGATATTTTTCATTTAATTCAATACACTCTGGGACGCAGACAATATTGTTTTCTGACAATACCGAGTAACTCTTTGCAGCACTAACCTACTATTGATGTAATACTTCCTGTAATAGGTTTGGCCAATAAAATAGACAATACATTGTAAAATTAACTTTTATGAAATATATCCCATCTGTATATTAAAAAAAATCGTAGTAAAATTATTGTCTCTAATCTGCGAACCTACAGGTCATCAGTAATTTTTAAATCCCTTTACAAGCCTTGGTTCTGCCTACATGCTGTGCACACTTTTTTGGGCCGACATGATGGTAAGTGATAATATGAATTGTAGTGCAGCAAAGTTTAAAACAAAATAAAAAATATATGGCTTTCGTTACTGACTGTTGTTTAACATTATCCTAGTTAACGGATATGGTCTACGCAAGCAATCCATTTCTCATTTTTATTCTCCACACACACCTACCTCCACCCACACACAGGTAATGAATGGGTGACTCGTCAACGCACAGCAACAACAGGTGCGCGTGTTTTCTTGCTTACTCGACCTCAGTGTGCGTGTGTGTTATGAAGAGTCCTACTGATTGGCACGAGTCTGTTCGTGTTTCTTCTTCGCTCTCTCTAGAACAGGTGACGTCTTCTGTATAAGGAGGAGGAATAAGAGTTGTGTTGTGTTGGGTTTTTGTGTTGGAAAATGATGTGTTGTGTTGGATTAAATGTAGTGTTGAAGAGTGTTCTGTTGGTGTTAGTGTGTTGTTATGTTGTAGAGTGGTGTGTTGGAGAGTAATGCGTTGTTGTGTTGGATGGAAGGGAGGTGTTATGTTGTAGTGTTATGATCTTATGTTGGAGTGTGGTAGTGTTGTGTTGAAGGGCGTTATGGACACGAAGAGATAGGAGAAGCACAGAGAAGATCAAGAAGAGAAAGAGGAAAATGATGGGGGGTGCAATATTACGAAGAGGAGGTGGATAAAAAGAGAGAAAGCGAAAACGTAAGGTTACGATTAAGAAAAAAGTAAATGAAGCAACAGTGTAATAACTTGGAGAGGAATAGCGGAATGGATAACAAGTACAATCATGCATGAAAATTGGTATGAACTCTCAGTGCGAGTTACTTATCAAATCTATCTGATTGGACATTCAAACTTACAAGATGGCGGTCATTTTCCAAGATAGCCGCTAAATTTGCTTACCGATTTTTTTTACATATAATGACTTCTTATTAGCAATCTATACGCATAAGGTGTCTATTCCTATGTTTTAAAGAATGCTGGGGCAGATTATGATTGTTTTGGAAGCCTTAGAGATGTTTTTTATGAATAAAGTAACTGTTCTGCACATACTTTTACCTCTTTTCATAAAAATAAGTGTAAGCGATTCATAGTTAAACAATGAAAAACATGTTTATATCTTGCTCATATCCCTGGGAGATATTGTCATAAGAATTCTTTCATATTTACAGCTGCTGGCACGTACATCCACACATAGCTGTGCAGGTGAGACCAGAGCGGATACATTTACATCAACGTCCACAGTCGTTCTTGTAAGATCACTTGGTCAGTTCTTGGCAGCTCGGTGCTCTTGGTGGAAAGTCTGTCCGGGATTCAGAAAGGCCAGTGTCTCCAATTTTGTTCATAGTATGTTTGATTATTGCAATAGAATGAGCTTGGTCTCTAATTGGGGTAAAATTAATGTAATGCTTACTTCAAAGCGTGTAAGGGCAGAAACGATCTTCCTGCTCGTTACCGCTGCTTACTCTCTCGTTTGCTAGTGCGACCAACACTTGGGGGGGTTGGACAAAGGTGAGAACGGCAGCGGCTACCTGTGTCACAGGCAGATTCACCCCAGCCGTCCTACAGTCACTATCTAGCTACCTCGTTGTTCGTCAAATTCTGGCTGTGATCTCATCATAGGTCCTGGACTCGTGGGCTGTTTTCCCAGACCTTCACCTGTCGACTGTCAATTCTCTGGACATCAACCACTACCACTACCGCTGCCGCCACGACCGCCAGCTGCTCTCCACCGTCTGTGCCTCCAGTGTTTCGTCTGCTGTATCAAGACATCGGTCGCTGTCTCTCGAGTGTGGAGTTGAATGGACGCTCCCCCCACCCCGCACCCCCAGCTGAGTGTGGATCACCGTGTTCCAGAACCTTCCCCCAGGGCCACTGTCGTAGGAAATATCTGTTCATTGTTTGATTCTATTGTTTGATTCCTTTAATTGCTGACTCCCTTTTATTGCTTGATTCTATCAGTTGTTGACTCCCATTAATTGTTTGATTCCATTAATTGTTTGATTCCATTAATTGTTTGATTCTATTAATTGCTGACTCCCATTAATTGTTTGCTTCCCTTAATTGTTTGACTCCACTAACTGTTTACTGCATTAATTGTTTGACTCCCGTAATTGTTACTTGATGTTCGTTGAGTGGTGTCAGAGTTTTGTGTTATATTTTTATAGTAAAGAGATGTCTATCTCAAACGGTTGTTTGTTATTCCTCAGAAAACCGTGGTCCTTGACTTTCCTTTATTAAGATCCTGATTAGTCTGGTAAGGGATTTTTATCCATAATTCCCAGGCCTTTACAAAGAGGGTTCCTCTCTTCTGTGTTGCATGATGGGCTGCCCATGTTGTGGAAACAGCATTATCTATTTCTTCAGTCAGAGAAACCTCCCCAAGCCACATATACTCATCCATTGTCTTCTAGAGTAAGGAGCTGGTAATAGCTGTGTTTGGCTTGGTGGTGGTGAACGATTTTTTATGTGTGGTGGAGGAACATTGGTGAAAGAGTCCGGAAGTTCAGAAACTTTCTTCACTGGAACTATTCCTACATAAAATGGCTCGCGTTCCTCACCAAAATTGTCAAAGCTTGGTTACTGGAAAACAGAAATACTGGTACCACGGAAAGATGTGTGTACTGTAGTTGCAGTCGGGTTATGATCAATGTTGTCTACTGCAGATGTTGTAAAAAGATGCTTTCTCAAAACAGATGGGCACACAACTCCATCTTCTACATACTGGGAAATAACAGTATCACCAAGTTGAGCAGATATTTCTAGAACCCTATCATTGGAAATGCAAATACCATGCTCATGGAGCAAGTCAATAAGCAATCTCTTCCTCGTCTTTGGAAACACAAACATGGAAATATACACAGCAAATGGGGTCTCGCGATCCTTAGAGAGTCCATGCAACTGTGCTCCTTCCTCGTACTTCGCAAAACAGTCGTACTGCAACAGCTGACTTGGATGCTCCATGCTGGATTTGTGATTTAATGTTTGCGCCATGTTCAATCATACATGTCAAGTATGGTGAGGAATTTTGACTTGTGTTTGAGCATATCCTGCCGTATTATTGTTGCTGCCTTGGCCAAATGAACAGCTTCACTGCATTTGCCAACCTCGGCCAGGATGGAGCCTACATCCTCTCGGAATGCTAGCAAAATATCTCTTCCTTGATTGTGAGCTTCCAGTTGAGGAATATGTGAAACCAATCGGTCCTTAAGTCTAGTAGAATGAACTTCAAGTGATTTGACACCAAATGGTTCTAGTTTGCTTGTTCAGTAAGACTAAGTTTGCTAATCTAAAACTTGTTCGAAAAGAATCTTCACATGCAGTTTTTGTCTCACTGATCTACGTCACCAATTCATAGAAAGCCAGTGGAAATGCATCTTTTTTGTCAAGGTTCTTTGTGTTTTTCTCATATTCCTTGGACTAAAATAAGCTCTTTCTCTGTTGTACAGTGCAGCTAAGCACTAAGTTTAACAAGGAGTCTTTTGTTACTGAATGTCTTTGCACATTTATTGATTCTGTCATTGAGTTTCAATGTCATTACTTGTCTGAGAGCACTTTCTGGTGCTGGCTTGTCACACAAAAAGCATTCTATTGTGGTTTTTGTGTCTCTTGGCTTTCGTGGTACTTTATTTCTGCAACCTTCATCACTGTCAACTACAGAGGTAGTTGCTCCTTTTTGGGGTCATTGCAACATTGTGTTGTTAAACCTAAGTCTACAGCTCTCATAATATTTTTCATTTTTTTTTCCTTAATGTCTCTGCAATACCATCTCCTCCACCAAGTCTTTCCATATCAAGCCTTATTGGAAGGGCATTGATTGAGTTGAAAAGAAGAATATTCTTGGCTAATTTGCTGTAGCCATCTTACTCTTTTCTAGTGGCGTTAGTCGTTGGAGATTTAAGTTCTTCCTTCTTATATTCTTGACATAGACAGCACTTGGCCCAGTTTGTTTTCCTTTCAGGATTACTTTGAAGACCAATATTCATCGCCATTATGGGACAGAGCCGAGAGTTTATCCTTTTACCACTCTGTATCATGTGTACTTTCCTGTCTGGGATACAACTAGAATCAAACAATTGTTTTCCCTACTCTTAGCCTGATCGTTCATCCAGTATCATTTAAGTCCCGTGCGATCTGTACATCATCCGGATAACTTTAACCTCATTATCCTTGGCTAGTCTTCCCGCGCTGGCACATCCTGTCAATTCAGGTGGGACTATTTAACCTTCTCTAGGGCTGATTAGGTAACATTTTCGACACTAAGTACTTGTATATATATATTAATCTTTACTATGAGTTTCGTAGTTAGCTGACACTGAACCTTAGGCTGAGTTTCACAGCAGTGTTGTCACCAGTGTGCCCTGGTAATACATTGATATTCATTCACTCTTTATAAGCACGTTTCCTTTTAATGCTATCCATTTCAGAGTTTTCAGCACAAAAATCAGATTCTACATACTCAAAAACATGAAAATTGACACTGAAATCACTTGAATTGATGAATACAATAATTTTTATGCCTAAAAGGAAAATCTGACATCCACTTTTGGCGGCCATCTTGGAATTTTTAGTGTCCAATCAGATATATTTAATAATTAACCCATATTGAATTTTCATGCCACTTTTCATACTTATATCACCATTTGCAAGATTTCCTAAAAAAAATGACACTTAGCCACTCCGCTAGAAGGCTGTAAGTGAAGTTGAACAAGAGAAAACAAATGGAGAGAGGATATAATAATCGTGGGAGGGAGGAGGCGGAGGTGGGTGGGGGGGGGAGTTGTAGAAAGCATGAAAAAGTGATCCAGGAGAATGTGTTTGCTCTCTACCTCCCTCCTCAGTGTCTACCGCCCTCCCTCTTTGTCTCCTTCCCACCCTCCCTCCTTGTCTACCTGCCATTGTGTATGAATTATATTGCTTCTATGTAACCTCTAATATTTTGTAATCATAAAATATTAAGTATTTATATGAAAAAGTTTTGAGTTATGAATATTCTAATTGTAAAAGATGTACAGTATATTATTTTTTGGTTATGTTTTGGTCCCCAGCGTCTTCCTCCTGGGTACGATAACATAGACTAGAGAGGTGAGATGAGGGAAGTGACTGTAATCTTATGTTTTGGTATTAGTTTACGCATTAGTATTATGAATGAACGCCAGGAGATACTTCTGTGAATGGAGGAAGAACGGCATTATATGATTAAAGGTGTTATTGTCTGCGTTATTGTTTTACTGTGAATACAATAAGTGTTAATTGTTTCAAGTTGGTATTTATTTGATAACCTGATTCAGTTTGAACACTTTAATGAATGGTATTCTTGGGTGTAAATAATCGTCTTGCACAAGTCTACAGTCTTCTGTCTGCGTGTACATCGTACCAGCAGCCGTTGAATGTCAAATTACCCGCCATCGTCAGTTCCTTAACGATCCTGACCAGAGAAACACAACACTCACCACCTTCAGTAAACACCGGCGATGACTGAGGGACTCACCATCTAAGCTCAACCATTAATTCCTGACCTCCATCCACATCAGCAAACCTTAAGTATCAATTTATATTGTACCCTAACTTTATACGTAGCTTGTTGTAATGATGTAATATAAACGCTGACATTGCTACTAAAGGTAATCACCCATTTCAAGAGTTTATTTAATGCGTATAACGTAATGTAAATATTTTTTGTCCTGATATTAACTATTTCAGGACATTATTACTGATGCATGACTATGCTTCACCAATTAAGGTCTTGACCACAGAACAACAGAGCAGTTTCTGTCTTGGCCAACAACTTACAAAATTTAAGACAAATTATACCTATAAAAAGAATGTTTCTGATAGATGATACTTTACGAAGAGGAGGAGTGTTGTGTTACAAGTTCTTTATTTCTTGTAGGATGTAAAAAATACTGAGGCAAGTCGAATTGCTATTGAGTGTGAGAGGTGGACATTTGGAAATAGATAAATTAGAATAGTAGATGATGATTGCTTTGTGTTTATCTTAGTATAATGAATGTAAATTAATAATAAAGACATGGACACTTCACCTATTGCCTATGGATGTAAAACCTATTATATTTTTTATAATAAGATCTCGGTGTTGTAAGCTTTTAGAATTCCACATTGCATAACAAGTCATATTACTGCTATAATAATGTCATAAAGAGGTGTGGGAAAAACTAAAGAAATATATTTGATTTTATTGATACTTTATCAGTACAAAAATTATTCCTTGCTATAGCGTGTGTGAAAGTGTTGTTGGTGCTAGTGACTCCGGTGAAACCTCATTAGTAGTTGGATCAAGTATCTTAATAACTTCAACTTTACGAATAACGTTTTAAACATAATAACTACGGCACTGTTTAATATGTTTTAGTACTATAACACTAATATTGTTGAGTTAATATATAAATTGTTGGTGTTAACAGTTCTGATCGGTAGAGTACATTCACTCAATTGTTTTGACAGTAGACTCATTTTTGTCGAAGTAGATTTTTTATTACATTGCTAAAGTTGTGAATGTTTCAGGAGCCACCAACGGTATTGGCCTTTACATGCAGGTCACGTATTGACCCCCCTTACAGCACAGCTCCTCGTTGCTGGATTCTTCTCCCATCTCCCAAGGGCCATCACAAAGCTTCGAATACAAGACAACCTGTATGGAAGTACGATAAAAATACAATATTTAAAAAAAAAAAACACGTAAAGGATTTATAAATTAAAATACCATGGATATCATTAGTTGAAAAATATAATGTTATACAAAACCATTGTAATGGGCCCTGTCTCATCAACAGAACATATTATATAAATGGGTCAATACATCTGATATTATATTCAGATTCACCACCCTGTAACTTTCCACTGTCTATGAGTAAGACATGAGTTGGACAACGTGAGCGGGCAACCCTCCCAAGAGGAAGTAGACCCATAGCTCAGCATTTCTGTAAACCCAAGATGTGAGGTCCTACAGTCAGTAGCTCACCTCAACTTATATCGTAAGGACGTGACCTAACGTTTATAATACATAAACGCCGTCCCCTTCTCATTCACTCCTAGACAGTGAGACTTACGGTTGATCTACACTCAGGAATTATATATACAACCTTTTATAATAAAACAAAGGAACTACCGTTTGGGTTTCTTTACTTAAAACCCAAATATAAATATATGTGAACGGACTGGTTAATTGCACAAGCAGCCGATTCATATAGGTGGCAGCGGTGGGATAAAATTGCATCTGCTTTTCTGTGTATTTTCCTATGTAGGTACGTTAATATTTCTTTTATAATGTACAGTATCTCAAAAAAGATTCTGTTCACACTGTGTGAAACATTATGAGACCACTAATGATAGATATTGACATGCATTTACTTTGGTATATACTGTAATTTAACATAAGTAATGCAATGTGCATTACTTTCGGCGTAATTGATATGCTATAATTGTTCGGTTACCAAATGTAGTAGGATCAGTATGCCACAGAGCCACGCATACCAACCCCTCCCGACATCTCGAGTTACTTGGAGCATTTCGGAAGTCATCGGACCCATCCTGGCTGATATTTTTTTGGAGATTAAGCAGGTGCTCCTCTACTTAAGAACGTTCAACTTACAAACTTTCAGAGACACAAACATCATCACTGAGGGGGGGTTACCTGCCAGAACAGGTGTTTAATGTGGATTGGACTGGATTATTTTGAAGAAAATTCCAGATAGAACAAACATTACCTAAGAGGAAAAGATTGAGCCAGGTTTTAAGGCTGTATTAAAGGGTATAGCTGTACTAATTATCCATAATCTTTTATTTTTTTTTCACAATATGTTTGGTATCTACAAGGGTAAAGTTGGACTTACAAACAAGACTCGGGAAAGTAACTCGTTCGTAAGTAGAGGAGAACCTGTACTTACAAGGTCTTTTTAAATTAAATTCAAGTATGATCTGTCTTATATACTGTACTGTACTGTACTGTACTGTACTGTACTGTAAGGACATAACTTGGAATTGGGCTTAATGTACTGTATATTGGTCGTTTTCACTGTCTGTCATTTGAATTTAAAATTTATAATTTTATGGTTTTATGAATTAATGATATTTATGGCATGATTTAATATACACTGGTTTCTTATCATTGATCAATTATAACACTTTTTTCCAATTCTGATTATAGGTTAGGTTTGAACATTTCCTCTGAAAATATTTTAAGTAACCTAACCTAACCTAACCTAACAAGCACTGGTAATACCTACTGTAAGCAATTCACCAGAACAACAACCCATACAGTGAAATATAGCACGGAAAAAAAATCCAAGGTAATTATCAGCGTCGGTCTCACAGGTGACACTTGTTGTAAACTCTTACGTCAACAATCTACCAAACACATTTTGTATCATCTTGGATCTTTCTGATATAATATTTTGGCGAACTTGAAATGACGTTACATCTATCCCCAAAAAGTGTATTCTTTATTGTACTTGAGGATACGAGGATGTTTGCAGGAATACAATGCTAGATAATTTGTGAGAAGTGTAATGGGGAGTTACGGTAAACATCACGGGGTATAACGAAGGTTTCTTAGAAATATATACATTTATTTATTTTATCATTTTAATTTTCGTATATTGTATTTCAGAGACTTTATCTCTTCATATATAACTAGTTGGAACTTTTGGGATAAATCTTTCGTTGCCTACCCACACGCGAAGACTTATCCCGAAATGTTCCAATAAAAATTTAGATTACTCAATAGTAGCCTAAACCAAATCACGTATATTTGGTTTAAAAAAATAATTACGGTTCGGACGGCTCTTTCGGGATAATAATAAGTAACCCACATGTTTAGAAAAATGGCCGTTAGTCATATGCCATACTTACTTCTTTTGGACCAAAGTCTTCGTCGCCCCTAGCAGGTTACAAGTATCGCAGCTCGTCTGGCCTACCGTCTGGCCGTCACCTGTCTCGTTATCCAGGCTTCCGTCGTTGGTATTCCTGACCCACTGTAGAATTTTTGTTATTCAGAGGATACAAATAGAAATAATATAAAGCAGAAAGATTTATTATATTTTAAAATTTTAATTGCCAATGCTAAATATTTTCTGTGGTAATTTCATCAACTACAATCTTTATAAACTTTCATAAAACCTAATATTATGCTGGTAAACAAATATGTATGCAAGAGTAATGGGTCTCACAATCATGCGGCATAGTTCTCGACATCCCTGTTCTGCTTCACAGTTCTCCACTTGGAAGGTAGGGAGGTTGAACACTTCTACCTCTTCTTCAGACTCGGTGATAAAGCCGCCGCACCTGCAGTGTGGTTGATCCTGGGCCCTGCCAGTGTGTGAGGCAAATTATCTTACTATTTAGTACTAAAATATTCACCATGTCTTTCTGAGCGAGACAATCTTAAGGGCCAAACTGGTGACCTTTTGAGTAATGTTGGTTTCGTTTCTTTCCCCCGAGAACGACAACTTTTCTATATAACTTGTGTTTCTGAATTGTTAAAGTGAAGTTTGACGTCAGTAATAAAATTTATGGTCCGGGAACCTTTACTTTAACTCTTATATATGTATATATTAATACATCTAGCAGTATTATAAATGACATTTGAAGGACATACAATTTGTAAACTATTAAGCTTCAGGCAGAACAATTCAAACATAATATCTACAATTGCTAATACAGTGCCAGAAAATTGGAGACATTACATGGCAGACATATTTCTCTCAAAGCTTATCTTTATTTTTACGCTACCTGTGTCTTTATCTAATCACCATGACGTCAATGGCTAATTATATTATTGATGTACGTGGCATTCCTTTATACAGTACAAAGGTTTACTTCAGTCAACATCACATCTGGCTCTTCAGATATTCATTACTAAAACTACCAAGTGATCCAGCACACCAAATACTCTAAAGCTTAGCTACAATCTGCTGTCTATCACATTTAAGATTTACACAACATACTTGACCACACAGTTCACGGTACAATGCAATACAAACAACATTGATAATAGCAGTTAACTGAGAGATATCGTTCGCTCGCTCGCACACACACACACACGCACACGCACACGCACACGCACGCACACACACACACACACACACACACACACACAAAATGTTACTGACCCGGTCACCACTTCAACATGTACTTAAGTAGAACTTACTTTACACTCTATGAGAGAAACGAAGTAATCTTTTACTGGTCAAAAATGTAGACGTGAACCATAAATATCTGCAGGATATTTTATGTAAGAGAGAGATGAATGCCAAGAGTGTTCGTTGATCCTCCTGATCTAAAATCTTTAAAGGCATTTTTTTAACAAACTATAAAAAAATGACTAAGTTTGCATACAATTTTAGTGATTTCAAAGCTGAACAATTAACAGCAGACATACATATGATATATCTGTAGGTACTAATGGTTCAAAGAAGTTTTAAATTGTTGAATAAATTCGACATAAATACTATACAGTATACGGTACATTTCTCACTGACGTACCCGCAACTCTATTGTATCCCCCTCACTACCAGCCGTGATACGTTGCTCAGTGGGTAAACTATTGTAATGCTGGAAAGCTTTACCATGTGAGGGCGGTGAGGGAGAAGAGGATCACGAGGAGCTTCATCTTGCTTGTCAGAAGTGTGCAGACTATATCATCCAGCAGACTGCTTTATACTGGCTAAAGTACGTCATCAGCCAGCGTCCAATGTGAGCCAGTCAGCTGTTCTCTCCCAGCCTTCCCCATCAGCAAACTCTAACCAGTACATGTACAGTGTGAGTACTATTGTGTGCGACTAGTATTTGTTCCGTCGACCATGCACAGTTACTGTGTATGTTACATTTGTAGCACTGTGTCACTAAGTAGATAAGCCACTGTGACACTAAGTAGATAAGCCATCTGACACTAAGTAGATAAGCCACTGTGACACTAAGTAGATAAGCCACTGTGACACTAAGTAGATAAGCCACTGTGACACTAAGTAGATAAGCCATAAATACAACTCACTTAACCGTTCAAGGTTTCAGTTGCACAGTGTTTTAAAACAACCACTTGTGTATCTATGCAATCTGTTACTGGGTATGAAATAGTCCAGTACTGCATACCACTACCATCTGTGGGAGTGAGAATACTGGCATATGTATGACTGTATGACGTTATCATTCTGACGATCTTCTATGTTTACAGAGGTTACCAGAGACTCATTATAATATCGGAATAATTCTCTTTTATAGCCACTTTGTTTGACAGTTATATTAATAGGATCTGTTTATTATGAATCAGTGTTATATCTACATTAATATACCACGTGCATTGTAAGATTGTACAGGTCACAAGTAAACCTTTATTAATCAGATCTGTACCCAGAAAGTACACAACATGAACATTTTAATATATGTTAAAGGTGGATGAACAGAGTCTCAGACTGAGTTGATGAAATGGGTCGATGTTGCACAAAAAAGTCCACAAGATTAATAGTCAAGTTTAATCAATCAATCAGAGTACTGTCCTTATATCTGAGGGTTGGCGACCACAGTCCTATAATCTAAACGTTCTCGGGCTGTTTTTACCAATCCTCTACTCTAAGGTTTGTATCTCTGGGGATGCAGTTTTTAATTTCAATCATTCATCCTAGTTTCTGCCTTCTCCTGACCCTCGACTTTGCCCATTAATATTCATGTTACTACACCCTCATCCCTAAGTAGATGACCAAAATATACACTTCTTTTTTCTTTTTCACATTTCAAGTATTTCCCTTGAAGTCTTTGCTAATATCAGAACTACTTCATTTGTTAGAGATTAGTTATTGCTTTAAGAATGGCCGTTTATTTGGACGTATTGAGGAATACAATGAAAAATAAAGTATGGAACACTACAAGATGGAAAGTGAAAGTATTCTGAGAGTCTTAGTAAATACTAGGAACCCCTCAGAGCCCAGATACAGGCCTATCATACAGGAGGGAACACAATAGGGCTCCTGAGGGCCCAGATACAGGCCTACTATATAGTAAAGAATGCACTAGGGCCCCTGAGAGCCCAGATACAGACTTATCATACAGGAGGGAACACAATAGGTGCCCTGGGAATGCCAAACCTATTGGGCCCATGCAGTAGTTTTTGCCCTCTTTAGAACTCTGGAGGATGCCACAATAAATAAATACACCGCCCATAACATTTCCTGTATCATAGCATTCTGATGACGGTAACAGAAACAATATCGAACAGGAAAACATAAGTTGTGGTGTTGTGTTGACTGACTCTTCTCTTCTCCTATTGGCTGTAATTTGGCGGGAAAAAAATAGACCAATGAACAGTCAGTAAGGGATTGCTGTCCCCGATAGAGCCCTGGGGCACCAGCCACCCTTCACGGGCACCTAGAGGCGCCACCGTTCCTTGGTAGTCCCCTGGGAGCGATACTGCTCCTCGAGAGAGACCCTAGGGGCGCCGCCGTTCGCGAGAGGCACCTAGGAGCGCTGCTGTCTCTGATAGAGCCACTGGGGGCGGCAGCGACCCTTCACGGGCACCTAGAAGTGCGGCCGTCCCTTGGTAGGCACCTGGGAGCGATACCGCCTCGAGAGACGCTCGGGGCACCGCCGTTCATGAGAGGCACCTGGCAGCGCTGCTGTCCCTGGGAAAGCCCTGGGCGGCAGTGACCCTTCACGGGCACGTAGAGGCGCCATCGTCCCTCGTTGGGCTCCAGGGAACGATGCTGTACTCGAGAGAGTCCCTGGGGCGCCAGCGCCCTGGCAGTGACCCTCAAGGGCGCCGCCCTTCCTCAGAGTGCTGCTGTCCCTGGGATAGCCCCTGGGGTCGCTAGCGCCCCCCAGGGCCCCTGGGAGCCCAGATACAAGCATACTATACAGTAGGGAATACAGGTGCCCGTGAGCTAAGATACAGGCCTACTATACAGTAAAGAATACACTAGGCCCCTAATAGCCCAGATGCAAGCCGATCATACAGGAGGAACACAATAGGTGCCCTGGGAATGCCATACCTGTTGGGCCCTTTGGTGCAGTAGTTTTGCCCCCTTAGAACTCTGTGAGATGCCACGTTAAATAAATACATTCCCATCACATTTCCAGTATCAGCATTCTGAAGACGGTAACAGAAACAATATTGAACAGGAAAACATAAGTTGTGGTGTTGTGTTGACTGACTGTTCTCTTTCTCCTATTGGCTGTAATTTGGCGGAAAAGAATAGACCAATGAACAGTCAGTAAGGATTGCTGTCCCCGAGAACGCCACTGGGGGCGCCAGCGACTCCTTCACGGGCACCTAGAGGTGCCGTCGTCCCTAGGGCCCCTGGGAGCGATACTGTGCCCTCGAGAGAGACCCTAGGGTCGCCACTGTTCATGAGAGGCACCTGGCAGACCTGCTGTCCCTGGGAAGCCCCAGGGGGCAGCAACCTCTGCAGGCACCTACAGGTGCCGTCGTCCGTAGGGCCCCTGGGAGCAATGCTGTTCTCGACAGGACCCGAGGGGCGCCAGTGGCTATGGAGTGCTGCTGTCCCTGGTTAGGCCCCTGGGGTCGCTAGCGCCCCTGCCTGGACCCCTGGGTTCCCAGATACAGGTATACTATACAGTAGGAATACAATTGGTGCCCTGAACCCAGATACAGGCCTACTATACAGTAAAGAATACACTAGAGCCCTGAGAGCCCAGATACAGGTCTATCATACAGGAGGAACACAATAGGTGCCCTGGGAATGCCAGACCTGTTGGGCCCCTAGTGCAGTATTTGCGTTTTTTGAACTGGGCTCAACCAGATCAAGCCATCTTTTCTTATTGGTGGTGTTTTGTCTTTTGTTCTGCTCCCTTGGGTCAGTCAGACCTTGTATTAATATTGGTTTATTTATATAATGCTGCTTTATTATTATTATTTTTGTTATTGTTGAGTTAGTGAGCCCGCCCAGGTCCTGTGTAACTGGAGGTAGTCACATTTTTTTTTTTTTTTTTTTTTTTTTTTTTTTTTGGTGTTAGTTAAGTGTTAGGTTGTGTTAGTCTAAAGGTACACTGTATGGAGAGGCCTGCCAGTTCTTAGTGGAGCTGGTTGGTCACTCTCATCTTATTCCTCTAGTAATGTTTTATGTAGAAAATGCATATTGGAGGCAGGAGGTGGTTCAATTACTTCTTCCTGGCTGATAACTGAGGTAATCACACACATATATATATATATATATATATATATATATTTTTTTTTTTTTTTTTTTTTTTTTTAGTGAGCCTGCCCAGGTCTCTGTAGCTGGGAGGTAGCCATTTTTTTTTTTTTTTTTTACTAAGATGTTAGTTCAATGTTAAATGTTAAATGTTAAATGTTAAAATATTAGGTTATGTTAGTCTAAAGGTAGCAATTGTATGAGCCTTATCAGGTTCTTGTGAGCTGGTAGGT